CCGCATGCGTCCCGCACACCCATTTCGGCACACCCCTCACACGTTTCGTGGCCCCATAAGGAGCTCCGCCGAAGGTCCCAGTGGTGTGCCTCGCATGCCCCCCGCACATTTCCATTCCGGCACAAAACCCCCCTGCCACGTTTCGTGGCCCCATACGGGGCGCCACCGAAGGTCCCAGTGGGTGTGCCCGCATGCGTCCCGCACACCCATTCGGCACACCCTTCACACGTTTCGTGGCCCCATAGGGAGCTCCACCGAAGGTCCCAGTGGGTGTGCCCGCATGCGTCCCGCACACCCATGTCGGCACACCCCTCACACGTTTCGTGGCCCCATAGGGAGCTCCACCGAAGGTCCCAGAGGGTGTGCCCGCATGCGTCCCGCACACCCATTTCGGTACACCCTTCACACGTTTCGTGGCCCCATAGGGAGCTCCACCACACCCACCAGAGGGTGTGCCCGCATGCTACCTCGCACACCCATGTATTCGGCACACCCCTCCATTGTGTTTTGTGGCTATATAGAGCTCCCCACCGAAGGTCCATGGGTGTGCCCGTCATGCGTTTCCCGCACACATATGCCCGGCACACCCTCACACGTTTCGTGCCCCAATAGGAGCTCCTGGCCGAAGGTCCCAGTGGTGTGCCCGCATGCGTCCGCACACCCATTTCGGCACACCCCTCACACGTTTCGTGGCCACCACAGGAGCTCCGAGAAGGTCCCCGAGTGGGTGTGCCCGCATGGGGCGTCTGTCCCGCACACCCATTTGGGCACAACCCCGCACGACTTCCGTGGCCCCTTATGAGCTCGCCGAAGGTCCCACTGGGTGTGCCCCCCCCATGCGTCCCGCACACCCATTTCGCACACCCTCACACGATTCGTGGCCCCATATAAGCTTTCCGCCGAAGGTCCCAGTGGTGTGCCCCGCATGCGTCCCGCACGCTCATTTCGGCACACCCCTCACACGTGTCGTGGCCCCATAGGGAGCTCCACCGAAGGTCCCAGTGGGTGTGCCCGCATGCGTCCCGCACACCCATTTCGGCAGACCCCTCACACGTTTCGTGGCCCCATAGGGAGCTCCGCCGAAGGTCCCAGTGGGTGTGCCCGCATGCGCCCCGCACACCCATTTCGGCACACCCTTCACACGTTTCGTGGCCCCATCGGAGCTCTGCCGAAGGTCCCAGTGGGTGTGCCCGCATGCGTCCTCGCCATTCATTTCGGCCCACCCCTCACACGTTTCGTGGTCCCATAGGGGCTGCGCCGAAGGTGACAGTGGCACAGTTGGCATGCGTCCCCGCCATTCATTTCGGCCCACCCCTCACACGTTTCGTGGCGTCACAGGAGCTCCGCCGAAGGTTTCCGTGGCACAGTCCGCATGCATCCCCGTCAGTCATGTCGACGCACCCCTCGCACGCTCCGTGGCCCCATAGGAGTTCCGCCGAAGGTCTCAGTGGCAGAGTCCGCATGCGTCCCCGCCGTTCATTTCGGCCCCCCTCACACGTTTCGTGGCCCCATAGGAGCTCCGCCGAGAACTCCGTCACACGCTTCGTGGCCCCATAGAAGCTCCGCCGAAAGTCCCCGTGGCACAGTCCGCATGCGTCCCCGCCATTTATCTCGGCACATCCCTCACACGTTTCGTGGCCCCATAGGAGTTCAGCCGAAGGTCCCAGTGGGACAGTCCGCATGCGCCCTCGCCATTCATTTCGGCCCACCCCTCACACGCTTCGTGGCCCCATAGGGAGCTCCACAGAAGGTCTCCGTGGCGCAGTCCGCATGCGTCACCGCCAGTCATTTCGGCCCACCCTTGACACGTTTCGTGGCCCCACAGGAGCTCCGCCGAAGGTCCCAGTGGGTGTGCCCGCATGCGTCCCGCACGCCCATTTCGGCACACCCCTCACACGTTTCGTGGCCCCATAGGGAGCTCCACCGAAGGTCCCAGTGGGTGTGCCCGCATGCGTCCCGCACACCCATTTCGGCACACCCCTCACACGTTCCGTGGCCCCATAGGGAGCTCCACCGAAGGTCCCAGTGGGTGTGCCCGCATGCGTCCCGCACACCCATTTCGGCACACCCCTCACACGTTTCGTGGCTCCATAGGGAGCTCCACCGAAGGTCCCAGTGGGTGTGCCCGCATGCGTCCCGCACACCCATTTCGGCACACCCCTCACACGTTTCGTGGCCCCATAAGGAGCCCCGCCGAAGGCCCCAGTGGGTGTACCCGCATGCGTCCCGCACACCCATGTCGGCACACACCTCACACGCTTCGTGGCCCCATTGGGAGCTCCACCGAAGGTCCTTGTGGGTGTGCCCGCATGCGTCCCGCACACATATTTCGGCACACCCCTCACATGCTTCGTGGCCCCATAGGGGGCTCCGCCGAAGGTCCCAGTGGGTGTGCCCGCATGCGTCTCGCACACCCATTTCGGCACACCCTTCACATGTTTCGTGGCCCCATAGGGAGCTCCACCGAAGGTCCTTGTGGGTGTGCCCGCATGCGTCCCGCGCACCCATTTTGGCACACCCCTCACACGCTTCGTGGCCCCATAGGGAGCTCCGCCGAAGGTTCCAGTGGGTGTGCCCGCATGCGTCCCGCACACCAATTTCGGCACACCCCTCACACGCTTCGTGGCCCCATAGGGAGCTCCGCCGAAGGTCCCAGTGGGTGTGTCCGCATGCGTCCCGCACGCCCACTTCGGCACACCCCTCACACGTTTCGTGGCCCCATAGGGAGCTCCACCGAAGGTGCCAGTGGGTGTGCCCGCATGCGTCCCGCACGCTCATTTCGGCACACCCCTCACACGTGTCGTGGCCCCATAGGGAGCTCCACCGAAGGTCCCAGTGGGTGTGCCCGCATGCGTCCCGCACGCCCATTTCGGCAGACCCCTCACACGCTTCGTGGCCCCATAGGGAGCTCCGCCGAAGGTCCCAGTGGATGTGCCCGCATGCGTCCCGCACACCCATGTCGGCAGACGCCTCACACGTTTTGTGGCCCCATTGGAGCTCAGCCGAAGGTCCCAGTGGGACAGTCCGCATGCGCCCTCGCCATTCATTTCGGCCCACCCCTCACACGTTGCGTGGCCCCATAAGGGTTGCGCCGAAGGTGACAGTGGCACAGTCGGCATGCGTCCCCGCCATTAATTTCGGCCCACCCCTCACACGTTTCGTGGCCCCACAGGAGCTCCGCCGAAGTCTTCCGTGGCACAGTCCGCATGCGTCCCCGTCATTCATGTCGACGCACCCCTCACACGTTCCGTGGCCCCATAGGAGCTCCGCCGAAGGTCCCAAAAGCACAGTCCGCATGCGTCCCGCACACCCATTTCGGCACACCCCTCACACGCTTCGTGGTTCCATAGGAGCTCCGCCGAAGGTCCCCGTGGCACAGTCCGCATGCGTCCCCGCCATTCATGTCGGCCCACCCCCGACACGTTTCGTGGCCCCACAGGAGCTCCGCCGAAGGTCTCCGTGGCACAATCCGAATGCGTCCCCTCCATTCATGTCGGCACACCCCTCACACGTTTCGTGGCCCCATAGGGAACTCCACCGAAGGTCCCCGTGGCACAGTCCGCATGCGTCTCCCTCACCCACTACAGCGTTTCGTGGCCCGATATGGAGCCCCACCGAAGGTCCCAGCCAGCCAGCTAGCTCTCTCTGCTCCGCGCAGCGGACGACCCGCGCGCGTCGCTGGGACCCCTCCGGGGCGACCAGCGCGCGTCGCGGGGGCTCCGTGCTGCGTTCTGCCCAGCGTCTCGCTCGCCCGTCGTCGCGTTGCCCGGCGGCAAGAGCCTTGCCCGCTATCAGCCAGCCAGCTAGCTCTCTTTGCTCCGCGCAGCGGACGACCCGCGCGCGTCGCTGGGACCCCTCCGGGGCGACCTGCGCGCGTCGCGGGGACTCCGCGCTGCGCTGCGCTCGCAGCCTTGGACTTTTGAGTGCGCGGGCACAGAGGGAGTAAAAGAAGGGGAGGAAGCGGGCGCGATCCTCGCGGGGGGGCGCGCCGACATTGGCGTTGCGGCGCGCGGGCGATGCCGTCGGGGAGTCCCGGGGAAGCTCCTTGCGGCGGCCACGCCCAGTGTCGCGAGTATTCAGAGGCAGTCGTTCTCAAAGTATTGACAGTCATATACAATTGCACCATGCTTTGTCGTACTCGCATTCATGCACGTAGACTCGCTCACACGCAGATTCATTCACAGTCAGATGCACTCGCGCTCAGATTCGCCCGCGCTCAGTCTCCCTACCTACTCAGATCAATCGTTTTCGTTCGCGTTGTGTACCACGCCATTCATGTCGGCACACCCTTAGCACGGTTCGTTGCTTCGTAGGGATCGCCACCGAAAAGTGAATCACTATTGCGGTGCTCACACTTGCATATGGTTGGGTCCCTCGTCAGGCTAAGTTGTTCCATTTCTTTGGTAAGTTGTTCGGCCGAATTTCGTTGGTTTTCCGCATCGTTTATGGAACATGGTTGTTCCGAGCTGGAGCCGCGTGCTTTTCACGTGTCCAGGCCACCCAGGTGGATATTTAACATGGAACCACGTATTTTCATGTGTCCAGGACGCCTACGGCGGTATCGAACATGGTTGCAACAAGTTTGAGCCATGTGTGTGTTTTCACGTGTCCAGGCCGCCCGTGGGGTTTGTACAGGGCCCCCTGGAGGCTGAAAATCATGAAAAACCATCCGTCGTGTCTTTTTCATGACTTGAGGAGCGTGTTTCTTGACTGCTTGGGGCATAATGGGCACTATAGCCCCCGCCCCCCCCCACCCCTATTACGTAACGCCCATCCCCCCCCAGTGCGCTCCGGGCACTGCCGCCGTGCGCACGGCGGAGGGGAGGCGTTACATTATACCCCCCTGGCCCCTTCCCCCCGTATAGTGCCCATTATCGCCGAAGATAAAGAAACGCGCCCGAGGGGTTTCTGGGCCAGGAGTCGCCAAGAAAACCAGCCACGTGAGCTGATTCTCTGCCCTACCCCTCTGCTATTCCTGCCCTGCCGTGCCCCTCCGACAGGAGGGCGTGGAGTTCTGCCTCCTCGGCCACCAGTACCGGGTCCGGTTCCTGGAGGCCAGGGCGACCCGCCATCAACGACAATGACGACGATCGTCGTCGTCGTCGGGGTCGTCGTCGTCGTCGTCGGCCACCAGGACAGGGTCCGGGTCCTGGAGGCCAGGCGGCGAGGGTCTGTACAGGAAAGCGCCGTGCCAGGCCTGGCACAGGACTGGGCCGCCCCAGAGGCGGGGCGTGTACGCCAGCGCCTGTCCTTCGGTGCCATGTTGGCATTCAATTGACAATGGCGTAACGTTCCCCAGAGATCTGATGCATTGAGAAAATCAAGAAAAACGACTCGGGACGAAAAACCGGTCCTGGGCAAAGGGTCGGGACTTCCGGGGGCCCTGCATTGAAAAAATCACGACATCGGATCTTTGGGTCCCTTCGGCGTGGGAAACATACGTTGCGCGCGTGCCCGCTCGAGGAAAGTGGACGCCCCATGTCGGACCCGCGATACACAACGAGGTCCGCTGACCTGCGCTGTCCCTTGGGAAAAACAAGAGGGTGTGGAGCGTTGTCCGCAGAATCCGCGATGACTGACGTGGTCTGGAGACCCTCGAATTTTCGAACAAATTTGGACATGTTGATTTGTTGCACCCCCGATCGAAGATGGTGCGTCCTGCGCGCAGAAATGTTGAGAATGTCTCGAGCGAAGCGCTCGTTTGGGAGAAGTGGAGAGGCCGTCCCTTTCGCCTCAGTCCTCTCGCTTCAGGGCGGAACAAGTGTGAACACACATGTGTCCCTTTCGCCTCAGGGCGCGGCAAGCGTGAAAATCCTTGGGGGCCATTCGCCGCAGGGCAGAGCAGGAGTGCAAACACGTGGGTCCCTTTCGCTTCAGAGCGGAGCACGCGTGAAAACACTTCCTCACGCTTGCTCCGCTCTGGGGCGAAAGGGACCAACGTGTGTTCACGCTTGTTCTTCTCTGGGGCGAAAGGGACCCGCATGTTTTCCTTCCTGTTCCGCTCCAGGGCGAAACGAGCCCATGTGTTTTCACGCCTGCTGCGCCAGTCGCGCCCGCCCAGAGCGCGACAGTTGCGAGGATTCCGAGCCTCTGGACCTTCCAGAACGCAAGAGTTGCCCGGATTCTGAGCCTCTGGCTCCTCCCGCATGTTGCCATCCTCCCCCCCCGTCAGAACGCAACAGTTGCAAGGATTATGATCTTCTGGACCTCCCGCGTGTTCTGCCGCTCCTTCCAGATTCTCCCTTGGAGTTCTAACATGGTGGTCCCGAGCTGAAGCCATGTGTTCTCACGTGCCCAGGCTACCCAGGTGGATATCTAACATGGCGATGCCGAGATGGAGCCGCGTGCTTTCACGTGTCCAGGCCACCCGTGGTGGCATCTAACAGGGTTGCCCCGAGCTGGAACCATGTGTTTTCACGTGACCAGGCCGCCCAGAGGGGGCATCTAACATCGTTGTCCCGAGCTGGAGCCACGTCTTCACGCGTCCAGGCTGCACAGGGAGATATGGTCGTCTCGAGCGAGCTCGAGCGAGGACTGCGGAACTGAATCGGATCCTGAGCTTGAGCTGGTCGAGCGCCCCGCGCGTTTCGATTGCAACTAGCCCGAGCTATGCGTTCAGGCAGCTGGAGCTTAAGATCCAAATCAGTTCGGTCAGGATTCTGACGCCAAGGACAGCCTGACACACAATGCAATAGCGCACGGTACAATTCAATGCGGCATGTCGCCTGGCGCGTCCCCTGGCACTTCTACTGGCACGTTCTGTGGCGCGTCCCTTGCACGTCATTATGCGGCGCGGCACAGCGCAGAGCAGCACAACTCCGCCTGTGGTAGAATACTAGCATTACTGATTATTCCAGCATTGCTACTGCCCGTCGCCCAGTCGAGGCGCTTGGAAACAATCCCGTGCTTCACAGCTCTGAATCCCTTTCCTGGCTCCTGGGTCGATCATTCTCATGATGTTCGGCCTCTCGGGGCCCTTCCCGGGTCCTCGGGACCGGCACACACAAACGACTCGGGAGGAACAGTCGGTCGCGGGGACGTGGCGGAGAGGCCCGGGGCTCGTGCTTCGAAAAAGCCGCGACGCCGGCTGTCTGGGCACACGGCCCTGAGCTCCAGGGCGGGCACACGGCCCGGGGCGGTGGCATCTGTACACCATGCCGTGGCCCCACAGGCGCGCGGCGACGGCGCGCACGCGGCCTCCCAGCTCAACGTCAAGACAGGCCTTGGCATCGCTCGGACGTGTGCATCTTTCCTTCGGCGAGGACCCTCGAGGAGCATCCTTGATCATTTGGAGGAAAAGCCACGCACGAAACCGACAATTATTCACTGCGTGGGGATCCCCATATGTGCATCTCCTTGCTGGCGCTCCCTTGGTGGTGGGACTCGGTGAGGACGAATCTGGATTTAAGTGTGACTGAGCTGCCTCTCTCTCTCTCTCTCTCTGCTCTCTCTGTCTCTCTCTCTCTCTGCCCTCTCTCTGTCTCTGCCTCTCTTTCCCTGCCTCTCTCTCTCTCTGCCTCTCTCTCTGCCTCTCTCTCTCTGCCTCTCTCTCTCTCTCTGCCTCTCTCTCTGTGCCTCTCTCTCTCTGCCTCTATCTCTGCCTCTCTCTCTCTCTCTCTCTCTCTCTCTCTTCTCTCTATTCTCTCTCTGCTCTCTCCTCTCTCTCTCACTCTCCCTCTCTCTCTCTCTCTCGCTCTCTCTCTTCTCTTCTCTTCTCTTCTCTTCTCTTCTCTCTCTCTCTCTCTCTCTCTCTCTTCTCTCTCTCTATCTCTCTCTCTCTTCTCTCTCTCTCTCTCTCTTTCGCTCTCTCGCTCTCTCTTGCTCTCTCTCGCTCTCTGTCGCTCTCTCTCGCTCTCTCTCTCTCTCTCTCTCGCTCTCACTCGCTCTCACTCGCTCTCTCTCGCTCTCTCTCGCTCTCCCTCGCTCTCTCCCGCTCTCTCTCTCTCTCTCTCTGCTCTCTCTCTCTCTCTCTCTCTCTCTCTCTCTCTCTCTCTATCTCTCTCTTCTCTTCTCTTCGCTCCCCTGGGGCTCCCAAATGATGCCCCTGGCAGCGTTTTGTGACCATGAGGCTCTCAAGAGATACATGTTGGGGACGCCAAACGGCAATTCTAGCTGAGGCGTCCCACCAAAATCGGCGCGAACGGGCTCGTGAGATCAGCCAGGGTGGCTCCCCCTTGGGGCTCCCAAATGATGCCCCTGGCAGCGTTTTGTGACCATGAGGCTCTCAAGAGAGACATGTTGGGGAGGCCAAACGGCAATTTTAGCTGAGACGTCCCACCAAAATCGGCGCGAACGGGCTCGTGAGATCAGCCAGGGTGGCTCCCCCTTGGGGCTCCCAAATGATGCCCCTGGCAGCGTTTTGTGACCATGAGGCTCTCAAGAGAGACATGTTGGGGAGGCCAAACGGCAATTTTAGCTGAGACGTCCCACCAAAATCGGCGCGAACGGGCTCGTGAGATCAGCCAGGGTGGCTCCCCCTTGGGGCTCCCAAATGATGCCCCTGGCAGCGTTTTGTGACCATGAGGCTCTCAAGAGAGACATGTTGGGGGGCCAAACGGCAATTCTAGCTGAGACGTCCCACCAAAATCGGCGCGAACGGGCTCGTGAGATCAGCCAGGGTGGCTCCCCCTTGGGGCTCCCAAATGATGCCCCTGGCAGCGTTTTGTGACCATGAGGCTCTCAAGAGAGACATGTTGGGGAGGCCAAACGGCAATTTTAGCTGAGACGTCCCACCAAAATCGGCGCGAACGGGCTCGTGAGATCAGCCAGGGTGGCTCCCCCTTGGGGCTCCCAAATGATGCCCCTGGCAGCGTTTTGCGACCATGAGGCTCTCAAGAGATACATGTTGGGGAGGCCAAACGGCAATTCTAGCTGAGACGTCCCACCAAAATCGGCGCGAACGGGCTCGTGAGATCAGCCAGGGTGGCTCCCCCTTGGGGCTCCCAAATGATGCCCCTGGCAGCGTTTTGTGACCATGAGGCTCTCAAGAGAGACATGTTGGGGAGGCCAAGCGGCAATTTAGCTGAGACGTCCCACCAAAATCGGCGCGAACGGGCTCGTGATATCAGCCAGGGTGGCTCCCCCTTGGGGCTCCCAAATGATGCCCCTGGCAGCGTTTTGTGATCATGAGAGAGTGTGAGTGTGAGTGAATGTGACTGTGAGTGAGTCTGAGTGAGAGCGAGTCTCATCTTATCTTATCGAGTCCTATCTTATCGAGTCCTTGTCATATATCTTATCTTACCTTATCATATCTTGTGCTATCTTATCTTATTTTGTAGTATATTATATTGTCTTGTCTTATCTGGTGATTATCATTGGGAGGAGGGAGGCGCGAGCGGGAGGAAGGAGGAGCAGTGGGAGGCGTCAGAGTAATAACAAGAACCCCAATCCTTAGGATATGGGGAAAAAAACACAGGACATGGACGTCCGAGCGATGGCCAGAGGCAGGGTGCGGGAGGTGCGCCGGTGGCCAAGCAGGGGGCACAGGCACGCCAGCGAGCAGCGGCAGAGGGCGCTGGAGGCGGCGGCCAAGCAGGCCGCGTGGGCCGCCTGGTTGCTGCCGGAGTGGGCATGGGTGCTGTTCGACGGCGGAGGTCCGCTCGGGGAAGCGTAAGGCTCGAGTACGCAGGAGCTCTGGTTTGCCGACGCTTTTTGACGAGCCCGCTCCGGGTTTTGACGGCCCAATGTTCATGGGATGGCTGCAGCAGGGGTTCGTGTCAAATTTTAGACCCGGTCTCGTCATTTTCCTGGCGGCCCCGTCAGGCCAACCCGAGTCCCCCGAAGCCGAGTCTTGCGTCTCCCTGATCGGCTACACGTAAGAGTGGCCCGTTGCCGGAGGGACCTGTGGTGCGGGCGCAGTGGATTCCCCAGATGGCTGAACGCGATGCGATGGCAGCGTCTTGTGCGCTCGGGTTTGGCCTCCCGACGGCCACCGAAAGTCGCGCACCAACCAGAGGTCACTCTTGCCTAGGGTCACTCTTGCGTGTAGCTGGCGGAGGGGGCGCAGTAGGCGCACCAGCGACGCCCAAGCCGCAGGTCAGGCGAGGAAGCGATGCCGCGCGAGGCCCAGAACCCCAACGTCTTGAAGAGACCAGGACGGCGTTCTTTCGGCGTCTGGGGACCCTCGCCGGGCCCCAGGGCCGTCAAAAGGCAATTCTGGACGCAAAACCGATCCCCAAGAAGTGGCCCAGGGCGCTGGGAACCCCGCGCTGGAAACATACCAGAAAAGGAGATTATGTAAACAATCGGCATCGGAAGTCTGGGTGCCGATGCTACTGCTTGTCCTGGAGATCCTTCGTCGCCGCGGCTGGATTGTCCTCGAAGTTCTTGTCGAAGTTCCGGAGGAAAGTCACCTCCGGAACCCCAGGCCCAGAGTTACTGTGTCGTTGATCGAGGCGGATCGATGAGGGCCCTGGGGCCCGAACCCCGACGAGCACGCCGGGCTCGGACACCTGCAGGATCACCGCAGGGTTAACGATGAGGGCACGTCTGCGCTGATTGCCCCGCGTCAACGAACACCCGACCCAGACCCCCGACGTCGTGAACTCTTCGCAACGTCGATCCCCAGAGATCTGGGCCTCTTCCCCGGGAACGGCTTTTCATCCTGGGTCGTTTTCTGGCGGTCCCGCGGGGCCCGGTACAGGGTCCCCAGAGACAGTATGGTGGTTTTGGTTCCGGTTCCGGGGTTCGGGTTCCGGTTTTGGTTCAGGTTTCGGTTCCGGTTCCGGTTCAGGTTCTGTTTTGGTTCCGGTTTCCTTTTTTTCTGGGGCTCGAAGAAGGGCCCCCTGGTTCCGGTTCTTGTTTTTGTTCTGGTTTCGGTTTCTTTCTTCTTCCAGGCCTGAACCAGACTTTCAGGTTTTGGTTCCAGTTCCGGTTCTGGTTCTGGTTCCGGTTCTGGTTTCCTTATTCTTCGGGGGTGTGAAAAAGATCCCCTGGGTCACGGTTCTGGTTCAGGTTCTGGTTCCGGTTCTGGTTGCAGTTTATTTTTTCTTGGTCTCGAAAAAGAGCCTCTTGGTTCCTGTTCCGGTTCTGGTTCCGGTTCGGGTTTTTTTTTGGGGGGGCCTCGAAAAAGGCCCTCTGGTCACGGTTCTGGTTCTGGTTCGGGTTTCGTTTTTGGTTTCTTTTTTTTTCTGGCCTCGAAGAAGGCCCCTTTGATTCTGGTTCCAGTTCTGGTTTCCTTTTGATCCTGGCCTTGAAGAAGGCCCCCGTGGTCACGGTTCCAGTTCTGGTTCCAGTTCCGGTTCCGGTTTCTTTCTTCTTCTGGTCTCGAAGATCTTCGAAGGACCCCCTGGTCACGGTTTTTGTTCCTGTTCTGGTTCCGGTTCCAGAATCTTTCGGCCTTGAAAAAGGCCGTCCTGGTCACGGTTCTGGTTCCGGTTTGTCCTTTTTTTTCTGGCTTTGAAGAAGGCCCACCCGGTCACGGTTTTGGTTCCAGTTCCGGCTCCGGTTTCCTTCTTCTTCTGGCCTCGAAGGAGGCCCCCCCAGTCACGGGTTTTGGTTATGGTTCCGGTTTCTTTTTCTTCTGGCCTCGAAGAAGACCCCCTGATCACGGCTTTGGTATATGTATCCGGTTCCGGTTCGGGTTTCCTTTTTCTTCGGGCCTTGAAGAAGGCCCTCTTGGTCACGATTCCCATTCCGGCTCCGGTTTCCTATTTCTTCTGGCTTCTAAATTATCCCAGCGCGACCCTACCTAGGAGTTGGAGCCTCTAGGAAAGCAGCATCTACATCTACATCTACATCGACAGTTACATCTACATCTACACCTGCATCTACGTCACCATAAATCTACATCTGCACCTACATCCACATCTACACCTACACCTACATCTACACATACATCTACCATTTCGCATTGGTGTTGCTTTTGCTTTGCATTGCCTTTGCTTTTGCTTTTGCCTTTGCTTTTGCCTTTGTTTTTTCTTTTATGTTTGCTTTTGCTGTTGTGTTTGCTTTGCTTTTGTTGTTGTTTTTGCTGCTTCGTTTGCGCACAGACACACACACACACGCATATCTTCGCATTCGCTCACCGGCTGTGCTTGAGAATGCTCGGGATCCGGCCTACACCGCACGACTTGGCATTGAACAAGGTTGTTCAACACTTGCTACACCGAACGTTCCTACGAAACTGTACAGCAGCAGCAACTCCCAGATCGGTGCAACAAGCTGTTCAGCATTGTTTCGGCGGGCATCATCGGCGCTGGAATATGCGGTTTCACCAGAGTGGTGCGACCAAAACCTCCCCGCTGTCGTGGAGTCGCCCGAGCCACTATTGGCGCGCAGGGACTGTGTCGAATAACCAGTAGTACACATATCTCCTTGATTGGTTCCCCTTCCGCAGCTCGCAGATCTTGTAGCAGAAACGCTGCAAGTTAACAATCGGCCGTCGCAGCCGATTTGCAAGAGGCGGTCACCGAAATCGCTGCGGTGCAGAATGCAAGCGAACTCTTCATTCGCTCTGCAGCTCTGGTTGTAGCACTGATCCCAAGCGTTCCTCCGCATATCAAGAGCGCTCTCTGGCACGATGCGCTCTCCGTTAAGAGCCAGGCGTTGATGACTTTGCCTCCACTGCAGGCTGTCGACCATGACGTTCGCACCCAGAGTTCCGCGAAATCACCCCACTGAACCGGGAGTAGTTGCGTAATCATGAGCAAGTAGAAGGGTCGTTGGAACGTGGTGATCTGGCACTTCGCGCACAAGTGCTGCAGCGTTCTGCCTGGTCCAGGTTGTGCAACACTAGGACCCGTGGTAGTGGCGTCGACGACTTTTCTTGGCACTGGTGCTGGCGTGGATGCTGCTGCTGAGCCAGGTTGAACAACATTGGCACTGGGGTCGGCCCCTGCAGAGATGGCCGCGACTCGCGGTGGGGTAGGCTGTGCAGCACTGGCTTTGCTCTCTGCGAATCCGAGTGACATCGAATCATCAATCGCCGGCGCCGCTGGTGAGAGACTGCCGGTGGCGGGGCGCATGGTTGAATGCGCGGCCTTTTACTTTGGTGGACCGGCTGCGCAGCACGGGTCTTCTCGCGCGAGCCCGGCAGGGCAACGCTGCGCCTCTCAAAACTCTGATGCAATTGCTTCTCGGGCTGGCCGGCGCACTCCGCGACCGCGGTCTCTGTTGCCTGAGCAGCGGTGCCGCGCCATGGTTCCCACCGGCATGTCCGCTGCATGGGCGCTCCCTGATGCCGTTGGCACAAGCTATCTACAGGCCGTCCTTGGTGGTCTCTGCGGGCAAATGCTTCAGCGCAACGCAGTAGTTTCTGTCCGACTTCTGAGGCACAAGCTCGCGCTGCATTTCGCATCGCGGTTGATGTGAATGCCTCGCATGCAGAGCAAATCGCCGCCCTGCTATAGCGTTCAGCAAGACGCTGCAACACCGGTGCCGGTAGGGAAGGAGCGCAGGTCAACGCGCTGGCACTCGCGCCCGCGCGCGCAGAGACGTCTCTCTGCTCCCAACGCACCGGCCGCGCCATCACATCCCCTGGGCGTCGCGTAACGGGGGGGGCGATAGAATCGCCGGGGCAGCGAGGGCCGCAGAAAGGGGCTCCCAGAGTGGCCCTTCCGGGTCGAAGCGGGGGCGTTCACGGCCCAGTTGCCGCAGGGGCCGGAGGCGGAAGACGCCGCCCCGCCCCCCCTCTTGCTTCCCTCTCCTCCCCCTCCCCCTTCCTCCCCCCCTGCCCTCCCCGACGATGCACCTCCCCGGTCCCTCCCGCGCCCCCCCCCCCCCCCCCCCCCCCCCCCCCCCCCGCGTCGATGCCTAGGCCTCCCAAGGGCCCGAAGGGCCCGGAGGTCCCGCCCGAGGCCCTGTGGCCCTGCGGGCCTCGCCGTGCAACGAGGCCCGAGACGCCCGCCGGGGGCCCGCGCGGCGCGCCGACGCCCGCCGAGGCCACATGCGAACCCTACCCCATGCCCCCCACGATGTCTGAGGGGGGCAGGGCCAGTGCTCGCATGCGGCCACCTAGCCGGGCATATTTTCTGTTGGTGGGGGCCGCCACCGCGGCGCCGCTCGCAGCGAGCGGCAGGCCGCGCGCCAGCGGCCACTCTCCCGTCGCCAAAAAGTCGAGGCGACGAGGGAGCTGGCACGAGAGGCCGCACGTGCCTACGGCCTCCTGCCAGAACTCTCTGCCACCATGCGCGTGCGAGGGGTTGCTTCATCTGGGGCGGCGACTTCAACGCTGGGGTCATTCAGGTCACCGCCCTGGTGCAGAGCATCGATGACAGCTACGCAGCCTGCCAAGTGTCGATCGACTCCAGTGCTGCGCAGCCTGGATCACTGCAGCTGGTCTTCTCTCACCCGTTGAGGTTCAAACACGGCGACCTCGCGATGGCCCACGGCCTGCGCAGCGTTCAGACGAACTCCGAGGTTGGTGCGTTCTTCGACGGAGTGAGTGATGCTCATGACCTCGTTGTGGCCAAGGTGTTTGTGCCTCGAGACCTCGAGAGTGCGGATGAGCCTTCGCCGGTTCTGCGAATCGCCGCAGCGCGCCCTCCGCGGACGTGGGAAGCGACGCGCAGCCCGCCGCGCAGCGCTGCGCAGCCTGCCACCTCCCCCATCGTCGCATGCAGGCCCGCCACGCCCCGTGTCAACGCCACCTTCGGCAGCGGCGCCTCCGCCGAAGCAGCGTTGCAGGATGTGCTCGAGAAGATCGGCAGAGACTTCCTGCTCGGCAAAGTGGCGAACATCGTAGCCTCGTCGGACGGCCGCTTCGAGGCGGCAGCTGCTCCGCACATCACCGAGAAGCTGGAGGAGTTCTTGCGGATCGCCGAGGAGCAGCGTGCCAATCACATGCGCCGCGCGCCGGGCCTGGACTCCGACGCGATCTTCACGAATTTCCACATGGAAGAGATCCACAAGGAGCGGATGAACGACTATAGGTCGTGGATGAACACGGAGACGGCCCAGGAGCACGAGCGGTTGCGCAACGGGGGGCGCGGGCAGACAGCGCGCCAGCTCCGACGAAGCGCTTTCTCCGCGCACTTGTTCCAGGTCATCGGCAACAAACATGCGCTGCTCTCCGCCATCCAACGCCCAATCTGCAG